GAACACACAAAGTTTTGGTTACCATATCGAGGCATGAGCTCTTGACTTCTTATTTCAGGAATACTCACAAGCAGATTTTTTGGGTGTTTTTCCTTCTGGGATCAAATACTTTCAGCAATGAAGCTGGCTTCAGCAGATAGTGTTTCTGCTGGCATCTTGCTAAGCTTCTACCAAGATGTTACTTGTTCATGCTCCATTGTCTGGGAAGCTTAGAGAGCCTTGTATTTCTGTGGCTCACTGCTGACAACTGTGACTGTTGCTGGATAAACATTTGGAAAGGCTTAGGAGAATGTAGAACATGTGTCTACCCACATGCATGTGATGACACATGACACATGCATAGTGGAGTAGTGTGTTTGGCTGCCTCCTTGACTCATGATGATGACAGAAGCTGGGATCCTGAAGAAGCCAATTTCTGAGTTGAGATGAGTTACCAGAGGAAGTGACGAGGCAGCAGGTGAACCCTGAGTAACACAGACAAACCTGGCCCTTCCTATAGTCCACTTATGTCACTGGAGTGCTACAGAGGAGTCATAATAGGGAGCAGAACGGCCTCTCAGATAATTCTTCTCATGCTTGAGCAATGGAGAGCCACAATGTGCATCTTCATATGATCCATCCTCCCAGACTTTGCTGAGTGGTATTTTGGGAGCAGGAGAAAGCTTATGCCATATTGCTCAGCCCTCAGGCATTCTGAACTGCCCCAGAGCTCAACAGTAAGCTGGAGCAGCTACTTGCTTTAGTTTATGTTGAGGACCACTTTGGCTTTCCAATTGGCCCAGAATATCTCAGTTGGCCCAGAAGATGTACAAACAGCTACATCCTCCTATCCTTCCTGGAGCTTGTCCTTTCTGCATCTCTGAGACACACAGAATATAATCCGGTTCCAAGTCTCTGTTTCAGTTGCCGCAGAATTTGAGATCCAGGATCCTGCTCTTTTGTCTCCATCCTAGAAATGTTCGGAGATGGGCTAAAGTGTTTTAGAATGAACTGCTCCCAAAACTTCTTATGGAGATAGCCTTTCCAAGATTTGAACAGGAGACTTTGGTGCTTCCCAGCTCACAAAATTCTTCGGGAAACACATTAGCATTTATTAATTTAGATCATTACTGGAGCTGAGTCCCAATCCTATTGTAATTTAGTTCTTTACTGCATACAGAACCTCAAAGCACAGAAGATGTGAACGTGTATTCGAGATCCAGGGAGGTAACAGGTTTCTCCTGTGCCTAAACTACGACTAGGTGGCAGCACTCCACTGGGCAAACCAAGCCTCTGAATTTAATGCCAACTAACCATTTCAGCTCACAGAAAAGCCAGCTTGCATATTCCAATGTATAGGAAAATAGAGGGTAAATAAAAGTCACCAAAGCCACCTGAAGTCTTCTATCGGGGCTGTGCAGGACAGCTGGAAAGCTACAAGTGAACCGAGCCAATATTTTCCAATGAAATCCAGTACCACACAAAAATCACCCCGGTTTGGACATCAAAAAGGGAAGAAAACCAGAAAAAAATCTGTAGTAATTTTCTCAAAGCCTCAGACTGTTCCTCCAGACAAAGCTCAGAGCTCCCACATTTACCTGGAACTGGAACAACTCTGGCAAGGCAGATGCAGCATGAATAGCTCAACAAAGCTCTTGTCATTTTGGCTTAGTTTTGTCTCAAACACAATGAGATAACATCGCCTCTCACACGTCAATTTTATGAGGATCTGTCAGCTCAGTTCCCATCTGTTCTGGAAAATAAGCCTTTTTGGGTTAGGGTAGGATGTGGAGTCAAATCCACAGAGCACAGATTTAAATTAAAGTATTTGAAGCTCCTTGCTATTGCCAGGTAGCAAGGGGAGGATTTGTATTTGAGCTTCCATATCAAGCTGGTTTCTCTTTCAAACCTTTTATTAACACTTACCATTTAGAAAAGACAAATTCTACACAGCAAAGAGGAAAAGGAGGAAGAAGCAATGCAATATATGAGAACACAGTCTATGCAGCACTGGGGAGATAGAGCAGGAAGAAAAGTAGCAATTCATGAAGTTACATGTACTCACAGCTACAAAATGTGAGTAAAGTCTGGTAGGCACTGCCTAATGTAGAAAATGAGAATCAGAGCGTTAGAGTGGCATGATACAGGCAAGAGATCCCAAAGCTGATTTCTTATAGTGCTCAGAGTTGACTAGTAGAGCTTGGGAAGATGGGGCTATGCCCTCTGGTCTGACTCTTTATGTGTGTATATACACATATAAACTCTCATTGCTACTGAATATCCAACACTTGGAATTTCACCCTCTGCTACCTGCTATTGAAAAACATGTGTGTCTAAACATTGAAGTCGATAGATCTGGGGCAGCTTCAACAGCCACATCCTGAGCTCTGGTCACCAGCATCACAGCTTGCTTTTAGAGTTGTCTGCTCAGAGCTGCCACCCCTTCTGGGAGCAGAGCTTCACCCTACAGCCCTTGAAGAGACCATTAAAAGACTGTAAGTGGCAGCATTTACACCAAAATTGCCAAGGTATTAACATTGGTTTATTTCAATGATGGTGACATATTCATGCCCTTATTTCCTCACCCTCCTCAGAATTCCATATGCTCCACTAATGAATAAATATCTGCTTCTGCCTCTGCTCTGCTGCTGTTGATGGTGAAGAAAACAAAACTCATCTCCCTAATTATTGTTCACTGTTCTCATATTCAACTATTACTTATATTCACAAAGAATACTAAAAGCTTTTCATTAGTCAATTATTAAGAGAGTCAGAAGTGATCCGTAACTTCAAGCTGTGCTATATAGAAAAAGGATTCTTGTGATTTTTCCTCGAGTACCTCTCTCAGCCCTGTTTGCAGCAAACATCTGACAGGAAGGAAGCTGTCCGGGTATAGCAATGCCTTCCTTCCCTCTGCCCCAGAAGCTTCTGCCCAGATTGAGCTGAGTTAGGAAGAGTTAAGGACTGTCACGTCCTTTTTTTTTTGTTTGTTTGCATTTCTCATAAAGAGTTGGCAGTTTGCTGAAATCACTGAACATAACAAAGGCAAAGCCAGCCTCACAGCTCTGCCAAAGCAGCAGCTGCAGGTATTGGATAGAGGACACCTCTGAACTTTCAATATGAGCTTTGCTAAGAATGTGTGTGTGTGTATGGAGGAGGGGAGAGCTAGCTTCCCACCCCCAGCCCATTCCCAGTCCAGCATCGCATTCTTCCCTGGGGGTAACATCTAACATGAGAATTTTTACAGCTCACACTGCTCTCCTAAACCCATTCCCTCCCAAAGGTGAACACGGCACCAATCTACCTCTTTCTTTGCTTCCAAAAGAAAGTGAAGGAAATATTTTCCTGAATCACTGAGGTGATTGATGTCTGTGCTACGCTGGTGGTAGCCTGAGGTTTCAAACTCTGCTGTGCATGTGAGATTACTGTGTCATTCTGAGCCAGACTCACCACACGTAGAAGAAACCTGAGAAGGAACTGGAAACTACCCTGTTCTAGTCAATGGGTTTCTGCAAAAACTGTGACATCAGAGCAGCAGCATACACTTTTTTATGTTGCAGGGGGGGTTAGAAATATACTGACACCAGAGTTGTATCACTCTAGATATGTTTTGCTCCAGTATAATTAGGTATCAGTGCTATCCTGACATCTGAGACTCGAGCCCTGTGCCAGCCACCAGGCATGCAGCTTTGCTCATCTTCCATAGATCTGAGCATCAGGGAGCGCCTGGGACTGGAAAAAGGCTCACTCACATCCCCATTGGTGTGTGGGGCTGGGAATGCCTTTGGGTTTCAGAGAAGGAAGCATGAATGAGAGGTCGGTAAGAAGTAGAGGAATGAAGAAAGGGAGATGAAGAAAGAGAGGAGTCTCCAAACATCAAATTGCTTGCTGCTCTGAAGCCTTTGCGATGGGGTGAGGTTCTCTACAGACATATCCTGATCCTTCAGCAAGATCAGCTTGCCTCAGAAGAGGTTTGTCAGAAAAGAGTGGGCTAGATACCTCTGTCCCTTCTCCCAAAAAATAACTGCTCAACTGAAAATTTGAATCTAAGAGCAGTTTTTGTAGGTAGCATGAAACTTTTTCACCTGTCATGAAAGATTCAGATGGTATCACACATCACTAGCTTGGCCCCATATTTTCCATCCCATGTTCTGACATGCTGACTGCATTAGCATTGTCTTTTATACTAATAATGTCTTCTACAGCAGAACTCCCCATGGGGGAAAGAAATCTTTGAAGCTACCCATTCAAATCTTCAAAGAAGGACCTTGAAGAGCACTCACAGAGAGTGTGGGAAAGTCTGGGGATAATGCCATAAAGCTGGTTTTCCCCTTTTTCTAGCCATACTTGTACCATTGTTGTGTTCCCACTTTTTGCAGTTATATAAAGCTCCGTGAGTGCTGAAGAAAATTTATCCATTCTTCCACCTTGTTGGAAAAGTCTATCAGTTTCTTCAAAAAGTTGTGAACCAGAAATAACCCCTAAACCAGCAATATGGATTGCAGCCTGAACCCCTGGCAATGAAGAGATTGGGGTGGGGGAAGATGGGGGTGTGGGCAGGGGCAGCATGCTCTTATAGCACACACTTTTTAGGCATGTTGTTTCAAGCCAAATGCCTAACCTTTGCTAGCACACACCATTCTCCACATTTTGTAAGCCAAATGCCAAACCTTTGCTAGTGTTACATAGCAAAAGTCCCTAGAAAATGTCAATTTATAATGCTAAAGAATGTGGTAAAAGTGGTAGATTTTAGTTGTGGAATCATACTATTCAAAGAAATAATAAATCACTCAAGAAGACATGTTTTCTCCCCTTGAGCAGACGCTTTTTCTTTCATTTCCGCTGTGACATATTCCACAACCCACACAATCATTAAGTCACTAGGTTTTTACAGGAACTTCTGTGGTAAAAGCAAAAAAATTCCATCAATATCAGACGATACAAAGCTGTGTGCATGTCCTGTGTCTGCTCATTACTGACCTGATTAAGAGCAGTGCACTGCTCTCCGCATTTCATTCTAAATGGAAACTGCAGAGTTCTATTACGTTTATTACTTAGCTCAAGATTATCTGCAGTATGTGCTACAGGAATCACATCTTGGACCAGCCCAAACCAGGGTTGCTCATGTCTTGCGAAACATTGCATCTTCACTGCAAGATCAAACCGAGGAGGCTCTCAGACCATTCTTGGACAAGATTGATATCACCTCTGTAGATGTTGCCAAGAGAATTTTCAATGGTGTCATGGAAGAGAAATTTGCTGATGGAAATACTAACTGGGGACGAATTATGACCATATTTACATTTGGAGGTCTTCTCACTAAGAAGCTTCAAGAGCATGGAGTTCAGCTGACTGGAGAGGAGAAGGAGCAGATTTCTTATTTCATCACAGAGTACATAATAAACAACAAAGCCGAATGGATAGATGCGAACGGTGGCTGGGTAAGTTTCAGTTCAGCATCTTCTCATTTTCCACCAAAGTGTAGATTTTGTTTAAGGCACTGTCATAATCATTTTACTCAGTGTTTTATTTGGCAGTTTAATATTTGATGTCTGTAATGTCTCCTTGGGACTTACAAAGAAAGCTTTTCTTCTGATTTAAACAGAACAATGCTAAAATACAGTGTTCTTTTTAAAAAGGCACTTTCTGTACCTGTAACAGTTACAACCCTACAGTTAATCTTGAATCACAGGATCATGTGATAACTCCAGTTGAGAGGCACTTTAGGAAATCATCTGGTCCAGCCTCCTGCTCAAAGCAGGTTAAACTATGCATGCCGTGAAATTTCTCATTATTGAATCTAAAATTAAGAGGTATCCTAAGGTTAGTGCAGCAATTTCGCTTCCATAGAGGAGTTGGTCCAAAAATACTGAAGTTCAAGGTAAGGGAAGAATACCTAGGTGTGATCCCCTCAGTTAAATCAGTATTTTTGCTGTGGATTTCAACACAGCCATTATTTAATCCCTCAAATTAGTTTTACTTAAACAAATTTACAGGTAAGTGCAATTGGGGTTAAATCTTTTCTGTTTGGACTGAGATAATCCTACAACTTCCATCTATCAATGGCCAATGCTGAGAAAAGCATTTGTCAATATGTGGATTATTTTGCCAAGCTGATGAAATTCCCTTCTGCCGGCAGAGGGGAGGTCCCTATTGCTTTGCAGAGCTTCATCATGCCAATACTTTTGCCTTTTGCAGTTAGGGGAAGCTGAGAATCAATGACATCAGAGTCAGTTATTTCCCTGGTACTTTTTTCCTTTACCTATAAGTAAACGTTACTTTCTCTTTCCACTCCTCTCTCCTCCCTCTTCTCCTCTGTTTCCTATTTCCTATTACTTTTTTCCCCTCACTTGTTTTCTAATGTCCCTTTCTAGTGTTCTTTTCCTTTTTTTATCTTTTTGCTTGTTTTGATCCCTCTTTCTCTGGTAATAATAATAAAAAAAGATGACAGTGAGTCATGGACCCTTGACGCATCAGATTTACTGTAAAGGCTTCTCTCTTCATCTCTCTCAAATAGAGTCAATTTTATTTAAGAGAAGTATCAACTCCTGGCCACATTACAGCATGATACATAGCTCACTGTAGTAGAATAAGGAGGCTAAAGGAAGATATTTATAAGTATATTGTCACATCAGAAACATAGTATTTGTATCGTCCTTTAAAATGTGGGCTTAGATGATACAGTTCACATTAATTTTCTGTTTACACAGGGAGGGCAGGGTCTTGGCTCTGATGTAAAATGTTCAGCAAGGTGCATCTATTTTCAGCTACTGTTTTTAAAGCCCTATGTATTTTTTGGAGGGACAGCTCTGAACACTTGTCCTTCTATGCACAACGGTGTAGCACTCTCTTAATCTGATACTAGCAGAGAGTGGTGCTTTTTTCCTACACAGGTTATTTTTAAGCTGTGCCTAACTGTGCATGTTCTTTTTCCACAGGAAAATGGCTTCCTAACGAAGTTTGAAAGAAGATCACTACTATCTTTCTCCAAACTTACAGCCATGTTCATAGCTGTTTTCTCCTTGTTCAGAGAGTACTACTGAAATAAATGGACCTGCCATTCACATATAATCTAGATATTGCCACAAGCTTAACTGCTAAGCTTTCCTCCAAGCAATATCAACAAGAAAACAATTTTCTTCCATAATTTGTTTTTTTAATTTATTGGTATTTATTTTGACTAAATACAATGTTTAACATGATATCCTAATTGGCAAACCTGAATAGGAGATCCCTCCAAAGAGGAATCAACACAGCATCATGCAGCAATTCAAGTCACCCCTTCCAGGCAGGACTGCTTTGAGAGGGAGATCATTCTCCATATCCAGACAGCTCTTGGAATCTCTGTTGCACCTCCACAAAAGGACATTGTTTTACTGAAATACAATCCAATGGGTTAAGAAACAACTTTTAATGTCATTTGTTTTGTAAATGAGCTACTACTACTGTAATGCATTTTATTGCAACCTTTGTATAAGCAAAAGGGGGAGGGGGGGTGTGTGAAGAAAAAGGAAATGCAAATTCCATTGTAAAAGTGCGTACAAGTTACTGACACAGCCTAAGTTTTCATGGGGAGAACAATTTGTGGAAGCTAGCAACTTTAAAATGTGCACTCACCTACTGTTAATGCAATGGTATGTGTTTCTTTGTTGTATTTTTTTTAATTGCTCATATCTACACTGAATGTTCTTTCCAATTTGTGTAATATAGTCATCTGGCTGGATGTTTTTTTAAACTAGGTGTTTTAAAATAAGCAAGTACAAAATATTTTTAAAAGGAAAAATTTGTGTAAATACACTAATATTTTTTTTTAAAATACATTAAAATATGTATTTTAAAATCCTATGATTGGTCTGATTTCTTTCAGAAAAATTGGAAGATGGGAAAAGGTCTACCTGAGTAAGGTAACTTAGAAAAGCTGTTACAGTGCTACCAGAGAATCGAAGTAGTATATGGGCTTGACCTGAAGTCCATCAATGTCAAGACTTGAATTTTCTGTAGTACTTCTTATCTGGCAGCTTGCATAAGAAACAGACAGCTTGTGGCAAAATAAATGAACTTCAGCTCTGATGACAGTAATTAGTGTTTTGGGATACAATTAAAAACTCAGCAAATTCATGAGTAGGACCCAACAGACTCCCAGGCTTTTATAGTCTGGGGCAACTATTGTTTTGACGCAAATTCCATTTGCTTTCAAAGGTTAAACAGTGGTTCTTCAAGAATTCATTCTAGAAGGGTTTTCTTTAGCTGTAGTGACTATCCTACATTAAGGAACTAAGGCTGGATCTAAACACTCTTCTTTTGTAGACATGTTGGGAGGTGAACCCAACTAAGGCAGCAGTGGCCTGTGGCACACAACAGCATTATTCTCTGAGGCAAATCTTCTAGACAACCAAGGCTTTATGATACCAGGAGAACAAACCAGCCTCCTCTGTCAATGGGTTCCCCATCTTTCATCTCAACATTAGAAATTTTTTACAGTAAGAGCAATCCTTCAGTGGAACAACCTCCCCAGGGACATGGTAGAGTCCCCACCAGTGGAGGTTTTCAAGATGTGATTGGGCAGGGTGCTAGATAATCTCATCCGGTCTTCCTTTCCCACAAAAGCTGGAACAGATAGATGATCCCTAGAGGTCCCTTCCAACCTGGGCTGTTCTATGGTCTCACTTGGTGGCTTCAGCTACAGAATGTAAATAGATGTTAACATTTGTTAGAACCTGTATTGCTCCCTCTCCCTGCTCAAGGAAAACAAAGATTACTTATGTACAGCAAGACTTCTGAGATAAATTTGCTGCTGTTGAAGAAGAGATGGCAGCTTCCTGAGGGCAGGGAGCTGCTAAAGGAACATGCCCATCTCCAGCACACCTGTGGAAGCTCTTACCAGAAATGACATTTTAAAATATATTTTGACATATATTTATTTATTTTCAGTCTAAGTCTTCGTTATAACAACAGCAATTCTTAGTTAGTTCCCTTTTGTGCACTATTGTAAGCGCATATTGTAGTGGTTAACACTAGTCTATTAATACCACATTCGCTTCCTTTTCGCTAATTTAGTAATTGCTGCATTTAAGAGCAAGAAAAGCAGTGAAGAGATATACCACCCAGAGTCTAAAAGTTATTGTCTGAAAACAACAGGGCTATTAGCTAAGTCTTATAAAATAGTATAGATACGCTTTGTTAAGTGTCATGAAGTTATCTATACATGGCACTGAGTAGTGTCCCAGGGCACCGCTGTTTAAGTTGATCCTTACAGCTGTCAGGCGATACACAGGAGAACAAAACCCTCTTTCTAGAGCAAAAGACGAGGCCAAAGAGCTGCAGAGTGGGACAGCTGATAACTGTCAACACGCGCAATAGCTTAACTGAGATGTCATCAAATGCCACGTAGAACAGATTTATGAAAACAACTATTCTCCTGTAGGAATGTCCCTTCCTGTACTTAAAGGTGGGCTGGACCATTGAATGTGCTCAAAGGAAGCCAGCACACCTTCCCCATGAGCGCAGTGCCCGGGCTGCGAGGCCGATGGTGTCCCGAGCCGCGTGCCGGTGCCACAGGCTTTCGTTCACGACACCTCCCTCACGGGGCAGGCCCACCGGGGGATGCCGTGGGGATGTGAAACCCTTGGGGAGATGGTGGTAAAATATCGCACCGAAAGGTCATTTCCCTTTCTACAGCAGAATTAGGGAACGGGAAATTCTCTGTAACCTACGCCAGACAAAAAAATAACGAGGGGCCTTGCCAGGGGGTCGCAGGGCCCCGGCTGACCCTCCAGCACCGATGGCCGGCGGTGGCTGGG